CATCCTTATTATACTTAATAACAAACTCAGTCATTAGACCACCAATATCATGACAGTAGACCAAATACCCTTCCTGCCTAAAAACTGAGCAAACTATTGATATTTGTACCTGTATCTGTAAATAGATGTATCAGGCGACTTTTTTCTTCATCTAGTGCCGTCTCCACTAATGAAGGTTGGCTATAACTATTGCAAATTTGTCTCTATCTTCTGCTTGTCTTAACAGCGTCTCTGTGTTTAACCCGGTCCAGCCGCGAACGTTTTTCAGTCAGGATATTTGTCGTCTACCATGACCCCTTTTTCCTTCGATTTTACACTTCATAATCAGCTGCAACAACTTGTACTTATCATTTCTAAGTCTTCTTCTTATAAAGCAGTGCACCTATAGTGCGTTGGCGAATTATCTTAAGGCCAGACGTCTGTATTTTGCGGCATGTAAAAGATCGCCAGTGGTATTTATGCCTGTAGAGTTCTTTATATTTCGTAGCCACGACATTTGTTTGCGACCTACTTATTTCTTGCCTTTAATCTTTCCCTGGATGATTAGTTGAGGGATTGCGTATTTTTTTCCTTTTAAAATATGGCCGATGTATCCAATTTTTCGTACCATGATCAAATTGAGTAGTTTTCTCTCAGTATTTGCCTTTCTTAAGACTTCCTCGTTTCTCACCTTATCTGTCCATGGTATGCGGAACATTCTTCGCAACGTCCACATTTCGAAGGCCTCCAATTAATTGGTATGTGCCCCAAATATATTGCCTTTTGTCTTTTATTGGTGGTCAAAAGTTCTCGGTCTCTTCCCATTGTTGTATCAGGCGACAACAAAATCTTCTTTTAATTTTGAGCCAAGCTATTCTGATTTATACTTTAACTCAAATCTCTTACTGAGTCATCTTACTCAGATTGCGTAAACAACTGTGATTATAGATTTTCTAAAGGACACTGAAATACACCATCACTTCCTGGACTACTTTCATCAGATATTGATTGACTAGTATTTAACATGTAATCAATACGCAGAGGAGGCTCAGAGACTGGTAGTTCAGGTCCATGCTGTAGCAGACGGATAGCAGACGGGAGGTTAGGATAAACAATTACTTTCTTATCTTTAAAGTCATATACAGAAACATCAACAGTACAAAAATAAGAGTAATTTGAATGATTTGTTTGCTCTCTTTATACCACAGGCACTGCAAATCTGAAAGTTTTTTTCTTTCTTCGACCACTTCCTTAAATCTTCAACAAAAACATAACATTCATTGTGAGGAACCCAACCCTTGTCTTGGTCGCCAGTTTTTATACCAAAATATGCAAATTACACCTTTCAGTCAGTAATGTTTCTATCTGATGTTTTTTAATAACAAAATCGCCACATACGTAACAGAATATGTATGGGTAGCTTTACAACCGCGACTAGCCATACTTAAAAGCTATGAGTTAAACACTAAAAAGTAAGGTTATGTTTATTAGAATAAAGGAACTATTTAGCTGTTAATAAAGAAGAATAATTAGTGTTGTACAAATCATTAACAGTGCTACCAACCAAGTAAGATATCTCTGCTCGTTAAAAAAAATAAAATGTAATTATGCAATTTTAAATGTTAAATTGTGAAAGAATGGTGGATGATATATTGGGCGGCATTCTTATTATGATTTTCGGTCTCACCACACTAAAATACATAAGGTGGAGAAAATGTTATCAAAAAAGTTATTCACTGTTGGCCTGTGGTATCTTCAGGGACATGTCAGAACAATGACTAATGTGATGCTAAATCTAAATATTGCTGTTGTTTACTTTCCTTTACTTTATCGTGTCCGGACATGTCATTCGTAAAATTTTGGCCCAGTATCGGGCTATGTCGGTTCCATCTTTGTTGGCAAGCCACAAATCTTTAAGGGTACATCGATGAGGACAGTTTCTACATGTAAGAAGATGTTGCATATTCTGTGTTTCTCCACAGTTACAGTTCACATCATCTTGGTCTATTTTTCACCATTTTGCCATGTTTGATTTTACTGTAGCAACCCTCGTTCTTATCCTATTCAAGGTTTTTCACGTTTTAAAGTCTAGGGTCTGGCCGGTCCATTGAACATGGGGAAGTGGAAAATACTCGCTTTCGTGGTGTTCGAGCTTTGTATAGGGCATGCCGATCATCGGCGATCTGTTTAATTTTCTCTATGTGTTCTGCAGCGCCTCTGCGTGTTGAGGGTTCTGCAAAACCCGCTTCTCTATATAGATTTGAAAGTGGTGTTGGTTTCATGCACCCCGTTACTATCCTGCATGTCTCATTTAGCGCAGTATCAACTTGTTTAGTGTGGGCAGATCTGCTCCAAACGGGGCACGCATATTCAGCAGTTGAGAAACACAGTGCCTGTGCCGTAGTTCTTAAAACGCCAGGACGTGCACCCCATTTACTTCCCGTTAGCTTTCTGAGTATGCTGTTCCTAGTTGTTACTTTTCCTCTTGTTTTTATGCAATGTTGTCTGTAGGTGAGGGACCGGTCCAGAGTTACTCCAAGATATATAGGTTGGTTTGTGTGTTCTAATGTATTATCATTTTACAAAATTTGAAGTTTTCGCTTGGCTTCCTTTGTGCGAAGGTGGACAGCGCAGACTTGGGTTTTAGAGGGATTGGGTCTCAGAGAATTCTGCAGGTAGTACGCTGTCATTGTTTTTAAGGCAGTTTCGAGTTTCTCCTCCACTTCTTCAAAACTATTTCCTTGAGCACATATTGCAAGATCGTCAGCATAGAGGAAGTGCTTGGTTTAGGTCGGAGTAGGTTGGTCGTTTGTGTATATATTGAAGAGCATTGGTGCTAAAACACTTCCCTGTGGCAGGCCGTTTTTTGAATTGTCCAGCTACTTACTTTACCCTCCAGAATAACGAAAAAACGTCTATTTTGCAATGTTTTGTGCCTTACTGTGTCATAGGCTGCTGTCAGATCTACAAAAGCAGCCCCTGTTATAAGTTTTTCTTCAAAGCTCTCTTCAATGTGTTCTGTTAATGCGAGGACTTGACCGGTGCAAGATTTGCCAGGTCTGAATCCTCCTTGTTGTGGGATGAGGTGCTTGACGACATCTTTTTCTATTCTGGCGAGTATGAGTCTCTCGTATAGTTTAAAAAAGTGATAGTAGTAGTATAGTTTAAAAAATTGCTGTTGATGGAAGGGACATTGTGCAGACTACGTCGTATAAGTACCTAGGACGTGAAATTCGATTGGGCAGAGATAACCAGACATGAGCTCCCACGTCGCATAGGATTAGCCTGGGCATCGTTTGGTAAATTAACTTAATTAGCGGATCTACCCATATGCCTCAGAATGAAAATCTTTGACCAATGTGTATTACATGTACCCACTTATAAAAAAATTTTTAAAAAAAGGTAGTTAATAAGATTCGCGTGACTTAAATGGCTATGAAGCGCCAGATATTGGGTGTCTCTCTAATAGACCGAATCCCAAACGAAGAAATACGTCTTAGAACAAAAAAATAGACGCTCTTGAAAAAATTGCTTCGTTAAAATATAATTGAGCAGGACACGTTCAGCAGAGGATGCATACAGTTTGATGATGATGATAATGATGATGATGATGATGATGATGATGACGATGATGATAATGATGATGATCATGATGATGATGATTATGATGCTATGATTGAGACTTTTCTCGTTTTCTAAGTTTGTGACTTAGAACCTCTATATATTTAAGTTTTGCTATTTGAGTGGTTTTGATTCTTTATTATATACTTCATTTCTATATTTCTCTTTTTCCTGTAGTTTTTATCTGTATTTCTAGTTCATCGGATATGCATTTTCGGTAGGTTTCAACTTTTTCTCTGGTTGCGCTGATTTTTCCGAGATCTTTTTTGATGCCATAGCTATATAGACAGGCAAGTATGTCTAGACCATTCGGCGTTTCTCGCTTTCCAGCATCCACTTTTCATATCTCTCCAAGCATTCTTGGATGTGCTGGATAAACTACTATTTTTTGACATGTCCCTGAATTCCCAGTCCCATGTCCCAGTTTGCATCGTTCATTACACTTCACAAGGCGATTGGTACAAGGTAATATGATTTCGTTAGCGTCGTGAAGATTACTAATACAATTCATGTTGATTTTTGTGTGTTTGCTTATATATTTTTCAGAGTTTGTTTACATTTAATGGGTTGCTAATACTCTGAAATAAAAAGATCAATCTACAAAAATTATACTTTTAATTGGCAAAATGTATAAATTGATTATTGAACTATATCGTTACTAAAATTAAAAACTATAGTACCTACATAGTAAACCAATCAATCAATAAATGCAGCGGATTATTCACGTAAACAACTTTGCCATGTACGTAATACATATGCTAATATGATTAACGTTTTACACGGGTGAATGGATTTCCAGATTTAATCGCATGTGAAAATACAAAATAGGATGGATGCTTTGCGGTCAACAAGTCAGGTAAACACCAAACACACGATATTAGCTACAAAGTTAACCCCTTTACTTAATATATCAGAAAAATATGTAATAACTTTGGAGTTTTAATTATAAATGTAGATTATCTAATATCATACAGGCTTTTTGAATCAGTTATTTATGAAACATATTAAGTCACACATTTACAGAAATTGACATTTTAACAGAAAACCAATGTTATAACCCCTATTAACCTTTAACTACGGGCGCCCAACCATGAATCTCAATTACGGGCGCGGTGTACTCTATACACCAGGTACAAATAGCTACAGAAACAAAATTTCTTTAATAATTAGAACTATATTAAATTTCACAACTTGTGTAATCAATAATTAGTTATTCTATCTATCTAATTAGCCTTCTTCGGTCCATCTTTGGACATAGGCCTCACCAATCCTTTTCCATTCTTCTCTGTCTGTCGCTACAGTCATCCACCTAGAGCCCACGTGCTTCTTGATATCATCTGCCCATCTCATTTGGGGCCTTCCTCTGCTTCTTTTATATTCCCACGGTCTCCAACTTATAAGAATTTTGTTCCATCGGTCTTCGTTTTGTCTTATATTGTGTCCGGCAAATCTCCATTTCAATTTTGCAACTTCTTGTCTAACATCCCTCACTTTTGTTTTCTCTCTTATCTACTCGTTTCTCGTTTTATCCATTAGTCGTATGTGCAACATTTGTCTTTCCATTGCTCTTTGGGTTTTTATGATTTTGTCCATGTTTGCTTTTGTAAATGTCCACGTTTGGGAACCACAAGTAAGAACAGGGAGTACGCATTGATTGTATACTTTGGTCTTAAGATGCTGTGGATATCTTTTGTTTTTAAGAATGTAGCCTAATTTGCCAAATGCCGCCCATGCCAGTCTAACTCGTCTCTTTATCTCTGCTGTTTGGTTCTCTTTGTTAAGTTTTATAGTTTGACCAAGATATATATATATATATATATATATATATATATATATATATATATATATATATATATATATGTATATAATCCTGAACTTGTTCTATTTCATCTTATCCAATTCTCATTGTGATGTCTTCATCTGTATTTGTTATGGTTTTGGTCTTGCTGTAATTCATATTAAGGCCTATCTTTCCAGCTTCTACGTCCAGTTCTTTCATCATTTCAAATAATTCTTCTTTTTATCAGTTATCAATACGATATAATCAGCGTACCTTAGATGATTCAAGCGTTGTCCGCAAATGTTTATACTTTTTCTTCCCATTCTAATCTTTTAAAAGTATCTTCAAGAGCCCGATTGAAAAGTTTCGGTGATATTGTATCACCCTGTCTCACGCCTCTATTTATTTGTATTGATTTTGTTCCTTCATATACTTTATTTGTTGTTTTGGCTACCTTATATATATTGGCTATTAGTTCCGTATATATGTGGTCAATTCTGCTGTTAATCAAAGAACTTTTTACTGCCCAATGTTCGACTCTGTCGAAAGCCTTTTCGAAATCTATGAACGCCATATATAGAGGAATATGGTATTCATTTGCTCGTTCTATAAGTATTTTCATACTTGGTAAATGGTCACTTATGCTGAATCCCTTTCTAAAACCAGCTTGTTCTTTCGACTGGTATCCATCGAATTTTGTCGTCAATCTATTGGTTAAATTTTTGTTAGGAGTTTATACATTACATTGGGGAGTGTTATAGGACGGTCGTTTTTTATATCTGATTTATCCTCTATCTTGTGTAGGACAATGGTTACTGATTCCTTCCAGTTGTTTGGGATTCTTTTTTCTTTTAATATCTTATTAGAAAGGGGATGTAGAGTATTAATTACCACTTTTCTACCATATTCCAGCATCTCTGCAGTTATTCCATCTTTTCCAGGCGATTTGTTGTTTTTCATTTCTTTCAATGCCTTCTTTATTTCTGATTTGCTTATTTCTGGCTGTAGCTCTGAGTTGACATTTTTTATTTTAACCTTAAGTTGGTTTTTAATTGCTTCTGGTGGTTCCTTTTTTGTTTTATATAATTCTGAGTAGAAATGGTGGATTATATTTATGATGTCATCTTTAACGTTTGTTTCTACTCCATTTACATCTTTTATTTTGTTTATTTCAACCTTACCTAATGTCGGCCTTAAGTATTTCATATTCTTGTTGTTCTGTATTACTTCTTCTATTTTTATTTCTTGTTCTTTTCTCTTATTTTCTTTTATTATTCTGCTTATTGTTTTATTGATTTCTACATATTCTATAGATTTCCTTTTGCCTTCTTCGTTCAGCTTCCTTCTTTTATCCATAAAATTCTTTGTTTCTGTTAATATATAGTTGTTCTTTTTTAGATCCTTTTTTGCTATTTCTTTTCCTGATGTAATCATTGTTGCTGTAAGTATGTTGTCTATTTCGTCTATATCTTTATCATCACTGTCTTATTTTTGGGTAAGTTGTTCTTTTAATAGGTCTTTGTATATCTCTTTTTATTGCCCTAGTTTGTTTCTATCTACTATATCGCAGTTTCTACTTATTTTTCTTTTCATTTCATAGTTACCGTCAATACTAATTTTTGCTCTGACCATCCTATGATCGCTACCTGTTGTGAATCTATAAAGAACTGTTACATCTTTAATGATATATTATTAATATATTAGTTATTATATAATAAAAAATAATACTAAAAAATAATTCAAAATGGTAAACCAGTGAGAAAAAACAAAAACAGTTATTTATTACATTTTGAAACACCAACGTAAAAAATATGCGAAAATTTTTAAATTTTTAACTAGGTAGAAAAATAAATACATACGAGTCTTTATTCACTTTCGTCTTCTTCCTGGTTATTTGAGTTAATACACTCAGGACAAATTATGGTGGAATGTTCTTTGCAAACCATTCTCCTACATGTCTGACACGAAATGGTTGTCACTCTATTTTTACCCCTTCCGCAGCAATAGCACCTTCCTCGTATTTTTGCTGGTGATTGTTTTTCTTCTTATTTCACGACAGTAGCTGTATATTTCTTCAGAAATATTTTTAAATCTAAGGGCAAACTCTGTATTTCAGCTCGTTCTGAAAGGTATGGCCTCAACAAAGATAAAGATAATTCCTGTAAAAATATCCTTCTATATTTTTGAGGATTGTTTATATTTGCAGCAGTATACAGGATTTGGCTGTTAATTCCTGCGATGTTTAGGAGCTGAAAAAAGATAACCATTGGTCACCTTTGCGTTGTCCTTGATATCGAGTATGTACCGCAAATTTTATCCAGTGTGTCGACACCTCCTTTGTGAGAATTATAACCTCAAATTATATTTGGCTTTTTTTCTCCGGATCTACTGAAGAATCATTATGCATGGTTGATATCAAAGGCACAGCTTTATTTTTTGCAGGTACATATGACACTACAGTTCCCTTGTTTTGAAATCCGAAAAGAGACGATCCAACTTCCCTTTCTTTATGTGGTAGGAACTTCAACGGCAGCTCCCGTTTATTATTCTTTAGTGTGCCAGCCATTGTTACTTTATCTTTTAAAAGATCATTGGCCAATGAGTAACTTGTATACCGATTATCACATGTCAAGTTTCAGTTTTTTTCTTTCCAGTCTTGAAGTAAACGATATACAATAACAGCAGGTTTATTTGATATGTTGTAAGGTCCTTGTGGCTGATTACCACAATACACCTCTAAATTTGTAACATAAAATATCTGGGCATCACACAATACAAATACTTTTTACCCATACTTTGCAGGCTTGGACAGAATATATTGAATAAAACTGCATCTACCTCTGAAAGGTAAATAACATTTCGTCAATTGTTACTTCTTTTCCTAAACAGTAGTAATTGTTGCAGTTCTCCACAAAACGATCCAGTGTAACTCGAATAGTAGCAAGCTTATCAGTTTCCTTGCGTATCCCTCTACTAGTTTTGTCATAACATCTTAGAGCAGCAAGCAAAAATAAAAATCGATCAGCACTCATGCACGCTCTAAATATTTCTGAGCCGGTTCCGTCTTAAGTCCTCAATTCAAGAGAATGTGTATGGGTTTGCTTTTTAGTTCCTGTAAGAAGTAGTGGTTCAATAAATGTCATAATTTCTGTTTTTGTTGTGTCTTTAGCCCGTCTCGGCCAGTTATACTTTATTCGCATATTTGCAATTTGTAAGTTTGTACACTCAACTATATTTTCAATAATGTCTTCACTAAAATTCTTTTCGAAAGTACTTCTCTCATTGGTAATATATCTAGCACTCACCTTTGGCCCAGAAATTATTTTTACAATATTTTGCTGGAAGTTTTGCTAAATTTGTTCACCACAGAATATTTATACCACTTTGTTTGTTTTTCTTTCGCTATAAAATACTCATCTTCGTCGCTTTCAAAACTCTCACTATCGCTCTCGTTATCTGAATCACAAGACTCTTTATCATTGAGTTCTATCTCTGAGCAGGGAATTGTCAGATTTGTTATATTGATAATAAATACTAATCGTTTTATTTTGAAACTTGTTAATTTAACAAATGTTTCGTTGGGGTGATGAAAAAACCATCAAATGTATGATCTTATACAGATAATTGAAGTATCTTTGAAATTGTAAATAATCTTTACATAAAAATAAAATAGCCCGTGACAATGGTTACACAAAAATTCAAGAGTTATTTCCAATTTAGTCCTTGCTCCTATCGCATCTCGCATATAGATATTTTTTCTAAAGTTGCTTTTAATTTTTCCAAGCAGGTCATAAAATTTATCAGGAAGCATTCTTAAATGGTTTCTGCAACCTTCTACATCTTTAAGTCTTATCTCTCTAAGTAAACAAACACATGCTTCAAGATTTTCTCGCTTGTTTACAAAATTTATCAGGCAGCATTCTTAAATGGTTTCTGCAACCTTCTACATCTTCAAGTCTTATCTCTATAAGTAAACAAACACATGCTCCAAGATTTTCTCGCTTGTTTACAAAATTTATCAGGAAGCATTCTTAAATGGTTTCTTCAACCTTCTACAGCTTCAAGTCCCATCTCTCTAAATAAACAAGCTCTTGCTCCAAAATTTTTTGGCCTACTAATCCAAATTTCTCCTAAATTTCCAACAATATACGTGGTCATCAGCAATATTTGCTTGTTAAATTCATCCCGAATACCTTCCATGGATTCCCTTGTTTTTGTTAGAAACTCAACAACTTTTAATTACAAAACAAGTACTTTAGTTTCAGATGAAAACCACTGAATTATTTACTTGCACTGGTATGTGTAAAAATCTACCCTGCCTTTTCGCCTTGCTAGTATAGGCAAGCGAGCTATTGGCATGCCAATTATTGGCAAATTTGTTTTGTACTTGCCAGTTACTGGCCTATGCCAGCGACTGGTATGCCAGCTACTTTCCCAATTTACTGGTATGTGTGTACTCGGCTTTGGTGCTGAATATTTTTAAACTGTTGCATTATTTCTTTTATTCGCATTATATTTAAATTTGATTTTGTTTTCATTTTACGTTTTGTAGTGGTGTATTCTGTTTAAATTATTATAGTTTAACTCATTTTATGCAAAAGTTCTTTTCAGAACTCTGGTAAAATTAAAAACTGTAAAGGAAAGAGAGCAATTGTGATATAAAAAGTAGATATACCTAAATTAGCGTTATTTAATATTATAACATAGAGTTTAAGAGCAAATAAAGGGTTCGGTGCACAAACTAGTCAACTCTATTTTTTATAATTTGTGAAAAATCAATAAAAACTGTCTACTTTATTAATTAAGTGTTATTATTGAAAAATATTTTAATAACAAACTGAAAACAAAATATTGTTTTGAAACATCGGCAAAAAAAATTAAAGTCTTGGAGTTATTTGTTTTTTACACCGAACCTCCAAATAGTACCCCAATAAAGTAACATAAAGTAACAGTATAAATATTGTGATGAAAATTAAAAAAAACAGCTTTTCAGCGAAGTAAACTGTTCAATGTAATATAAATGTATATAAAACTATGGTCTGTTTTTTAACCAGGAGAAGTAATTCAAATTGTCCGCACCATAATGCTTGTTTGTAATTGATCCAAGCGCAGGCAAGTTTACTCTACTAAATTATGATCATGTTGACACTAATGACATTTGTGAAATTTTAAAATTCAAAATATATATCGATTTTTTATATTTCCTGCATTATTCCTTACATTTTTAGATTTTTCGTTTGCATTTATATAAAAAACAGTTCTTTTTAGAAATATTTAGCGACATATTAGTGTTATTAAATTAAGATAACAATATGGATTCAATGCCAAGTCACATTGTTTATTATTCTGTGGCCAAGTACTAGTGGAAATTATTCTTCTCCACCGAGGTTATATTTGGGTTATTTATCATCAAATGAGAAACAATATACAAACAAATGAAAATTGATAATTCTGGAATTAAAATAACAGCCATGATAGCAAAAATAAAACAGGCAGCAGGTTAGTTTTACAGAATAGTTAATAAAATCAAGAGTTACTAAAGTAATTACCTAATTTTAGGTACTGTGAATTCAACTATTTACTAAACAATTTAAGAATATAAGCAGACTGGAGCAGTAAGATGTCCTAAAAATATTCACGGTCGATCTTCTATTCTTTCATCATATGATGAAAGAGTTAAAACAGCTTTAATGAAATGCTCACAAAAATGCTCAGTAAAATTTTAAGTGAAATTAAGAACCGCTTAAATCTTCAAAATTATGTGTCGTT